ACAAAGGGTAGTCAAACAGTGGACACCCAGGATTGAGCCGAATGAAATCATCGGCCAGAAGCTACGTTTATTGGCCCGGCATGGACAAGGATTTGGAGGACCATTGCCGAACTTGTCCCCGATGCATTCAAGTTGCCAAGACGCCTCAACGAGATGAACCACACGATTGGCCTACGCCCGAGGCGCCATGGCAACGGCTACATGTGGACTTTGCGGGTCCGATCGACGGTCTGTATCAGCTGGTAATCGTAGACGCCTTCACGAAGTGACCAGAAGTCTTCTGCATGCGCAAGGCATCGACCGAAGCTACCATTGCCAGACTGCAGAAAGTATTCAGCTGTTTCGGGTTACCTGATACAATGGTGACGGACAATGTTACGCCGTTCACTGCAGCTCTTTTTAATGATTTCTGTGTACGGAACACACTGACGCATATCCGGTCACCGCCGTACCACCCTCAATCAAATGGCCAAGCTGAGAGATTTGTGGATACTTTCCAACAAGCACTTTTGAAATCTCGAGGGGAGGGACCAACGGCCGACGTCATTCATGCTTTCCTAACCAACTACCGGACGACACCAAACCCAAGTGCGCCTAATGGGAAGTCCCCAGCGGAACTTATGTTTGGGAGGAAAGTGAAGACATTGTTTGATGCATTGCGCCCCCGAAACACCAGAGAGATCGGCGATGAAAACCAACCGGGATACTCCAACGGCAAATGTCGCCCTGGACGTATTTTTAGCCGTGGAGACTCCGTCCTTGTCAGAGACTATTCAGCGAATTGCTGGATTCCGGGGATTATATTGCGACGAAGAGGGAACGTCGTCTATGAGGTAGATATTGGCGGAACAGGTTAGGCATGCCAATCAAATTCGACACTGCATACGACCCGATTAGATACAAGAACATTGGCGTCAACCCACCTCTGTTGCAAAGAGGAACTGGACGACGAGGAATTCCAGTAAAACGGTTGCAGATAAATCCCAGGTTGAGAACCTACGATCTATCTCCAAAAGGGGGAAGTGTCAGGACGCGCCCAGACATGAGAAAAAGCACATGTGAAGAAAGTGGTGCATCCCAGGGTCACCATCGCTACGACACGTCCGGAAAGTAGATGCATGGGCGGCTCTCACCAAACACGGCTTAGCAACATACGACCAGCGTAGTGGGCCTGAACCTGTTCACGACCGGAACGCCACCATTGGCTGTACGGAACGAACAAGTGAATGACCATATTTGGCCATTTAATCATCCTATATATTTACGCAGACGTTCTGTATGTTTTGTCCTGACAATACAGCCGTGTCCTGAGCTCTCTGTCTTCTTCTTATCGTGTAGTCTGGCAAGCTCAGTGCAGGGGTAACCAATAGACGGCCACCCACGACACAACAGGGTGGAAATGCCAGTAAGTTATATTTTTCAAAGAACAAGTCTGCGCGCGATTTCCAAACTCTAACCTGAAGAGCTTAGATTTCTAATCACTGACCAACCAACATGCGACTCTGCGAGTATCGCACGGACGCTTCGCAGCGTAACTCATGGGTTGTCAAGACATACAAACCGTGACACAGAGGATGGATCTTAAGGACGCTTTTTTTGGCCGTTATTTTCAATATATCTGCGCTGTCATCACATCACCTCCGTTTAACGATAATCGTTTCACCACAATCAGCAATGATCTCATGGTCTACCTACGAAAATTGGTGAGGGAACTTTTTTGTCAGTGATAGGTCTTGATAGGACAGTTATGACTTCATTGTATCCGAAACGCCCAACGTCTGAAAAATTATGTATTCTCTAAAAATAAGGCATCCTATGAGGAATATCGTTCATGTGGTTCTCGCATAATAGCAACGGCGCACTTGTATACCCCTTCTGGTTTGCTGTCATGTCCTCATTCGGTTGGTATGCCTCCACATGATAGGCACTTGTTTGAGTTTTCCGTCTACGTTGGTACGTTCAGTGGGAAGCGTTATTGCATCTTGCTTATTTCTGAAAAAATGTCCTCATGTCTCGAAACGTTTCAACTTTCGAACCCTTGTTTAAGAGTCAATGGGACTGCCGTCAGGATGGCAAGGTGTAATCGATGTTGAGTAGCTGAAGTGTAATTGCTACTGGGAGAATATTGGTAGATCAAGTAACATAGGTGCTCCATGAATTGCTTACCGAATCAGACTGTTTGGCTGAAAGTATATCATCTCCACTGGACTCAGTACGTCTTTATGAAGCTGGTGTATCGCTTCACCTTCTCTAATGCTGCAGGGTTACAGTCAGAAGACAAGAAGGCGGCCTGAAAACTATGAATGCAAATACAGAGTTCCGTTTATATCATTCACTTGTGACCGTATTTGATGGTCGATCTGCTCTCAACCAAACAGTGTGTCTGCTGCACGCCCACACCGGTTCTCGAGCGGCTGTTTCATTTGTCTCGGTTAACCATAGATGGCCATCTGCCTGCTTGTGTACGGAGTTCCTTGGCCATCGGGTGGGCATGGAATGCGTGTACGTTTTGACCTTTGCTTATGATGAAATCGGACGTGGGCGCATACACACGCGGCACTGTTTCACCACACGATCGTTCCGCTTCGCAGTAG